CTCTCTCTCTCTCTCTCTCTCTCTCTCTCTCTCTCTCTCTCTCTCTCTCTCCTCAAAACACCAACCATGATAATTATTCTCGTAGCGCATTTAGAAACGCTAGGCTCAGCGCGATTTACATACACGTAAACAATTCAAACGCAATCTATATTTAACGCATTCTGATCGCGCTCTACGAACATAAAAGGCAACGGGACAATCGACAGGGCGGTTCGTTAAGACAGACGCGGCGCTGAGCCATTATGCACCATTCTCGCTTTATGCCGATCGCGTATTTATCCGACATCACGTCGGACCTACTCCATGCCGCGCCGCATCCTCCTCCCTCATGTCAATCGCGATCCAATGCTCATCCGATTAAACCGAGCGCGACGCGCGTCCCAGCCTTAATGAACCCGTCCCTGCGACTATCCCCTTTCCTCCCCTTGATTCCAAATAATGAATTATACGAACGGACGCTTCCTTACTCCGCGTGCCGAGATGAGTATCGTCAGGAGATATCGATGGTTGAGGTCGATAGCGCGAGATACGCGCCGACCAGTATTGCAACGTTAAAAAACAAAAATATCGAGAGGTGCAATGATCCAAGACCAAGGTACGCTTTTCGACGATAACGAGTCCTGAGTAGAGTTACGTTCTCTTCTCCATCTGTTCTCTTTTTTCTGGACACCGTTTTCTTTTTTATATGAAAGGAACAATCTTTTAAGTTAAATGAAATTTTTACCTTCTATTTATTGTGTATTTCAAAATGTAAATTAATTCATTTCTGTGATTAGTTCCAAAATAAATATTGTGCATATTAACATATTTAATATACTAAATTTGAGTCAAATTTAATACACTTTATTGAGCTAAAATGTTTAATTCCATTGTTTTAATCAAATTAACGACACATTGAATAGGAATAGTGGTGATCTAGAAATGATAAAAAATAACTCAAATTGTGGGTAAAATTTGACATAAATATAATTTGAATTTAATATTGTAAGGCGTTCGGATATTAATTATAATTTCACAAATCTTTTGAATATTTTGCTTGACTCTTTTCGCGATATTCTATATTAGTTCTCATTCACAAAAAGTACAATAATCTTTAAATTGTAAAAAACTGATCAATCACAATCAATTCTATAATTGATCAATTTTTTATTATATATTAAATTTCTTATTATATTAAATTAATATCATTAATAAATAAGTAGATGTAAAATAATAATTATTCGATCAATTGTAACCTACACGTATTTTTATATGCATCCGGGATTGCAAGTGACATGTTCGGAGTTTTTGGCCTCTAAGCAAGTTGTAATTTTGAAATTTTTGATATGACAACCTTAGATTCAAGAGTATTTTTCCCCGAAATTCGTTATGAGTCGTTGTTTGGAAAATTAACGATACGTAAGTGTTATTACATGCGTCGTGTAAAGCAACTTCGCATGTATCAATGTTAGGTAATTTCGAGTTAGCGGGGACGTGTAGCGAATGATGTCAAGTGTGTAGAGCCACGAAGCAGAATCCGAAAGGAAGAAATGGAAAGAAGAAAGTGACAAGAAGAGGACTTCAACTATGAGCGGATACGTAGAGAGAGTAGGAGTAAACATATCCTCCTATTCCAAGTAAAAGTCGATAGATAGAAGCTTCGGCTTCGTGCCTTCCTTTTATTTTCTGCCTATCTTTATCAGCCCACCTTCTTCAGCGCGTTCGAGCACGTCCAAGGAGCTGCTCGCACTTGTATGCGACCCACCAAATGAATTGCATAATATTACACGCGACTGCCGACGGTATGTGCATCGTGCGCGTGGAGTCGCAGTGAGCGACTCGTTGAAAAGTCATCTTATCGCTGCGCCGTGCGTTCACTGCAAACGTTCACGTCAGAACTTAGCACAGCTCGACGTAGCAAAACTATGGACAAACGAGATTAGAGCGCTCCTCGTAACCTGTTTTCCACATGCGCTTCTTATTAACATGATATTAAGGTGCTCTTGGCGTTGCTCGGAGATGAAATTCAGGCGGAGCGCAACGTATGTGAATCAGTTCCCGGTGAAGCCAGTCGCGCGGCACCACGAGCAAATTTGTTCGCGTCACTGCGATACATCAGAATCCACGAGTTTAACGCGGAATCATATTCCCACAGTAAACCATCCGGTCGATTCTGTGTCAAATATCAAAATTTATGCAATCGTCAGAAACAATCGGCACTTCACCGTATTACGCAATGGAAGCGAGATATGCCTGTGGCAAATGTTCTATTTCAGCTATCACTTTACATCTGCGGGGGAAAAGCTAGCTTCCGCTTACCACGAAGCAAAATAATAAAAAAAAAGCATTAAAGTGCTATAGCGAACGGTGGTAGGATTCCACACACGTATCTCCCGACTTGATTAGAGACACTCTCGCCCACTCTTTGCCACGTAAGTTTTATCTCGCCTCTCAACCGAGAACAATGAGCTCATAGAGCTTCCGCTTCGATGATTCGAAAAAGATATTGGGGAGAGAATAGGTAGAAGAACCTGAACGTCATTACCGTTAGTCTTCCATGGAGTCCTCTGACTTCAAAGTGACGTACATATCCGTATTTATAATCATTAATCTCAAGAATACTATTACTGCACTTCTTCCGTAGCGAATCACTGGGATTCATTCGTAGAAATGCAAAAGTCACGAGAGCCAATCTTAAAATGAATTAATTATAAACCAATTTCATAAATCTAAATGTATTCTTTCTCTCAATCTCTAAAAGTGAATCAGTGATTTCAATGCTACACTTATAACTGATATAATCATCAGCAAATGTTTACTGTTTTTTAGTAATGGTACACTGATCTTTCTCTCTCTCTATCTTTCTCTTTCAAAAAGCAAGAGAAATTGAATATAAACAAACTACAGTTCGCACGAGTGCTATAGGCTCGAATTAGTTATGTAATAGGAGAAAAAGATGGCCGGGGTCGGTGATTTACGCATTCCGCTTCTGCTAGGCGCAACAAAGGCAGTGTGACGTGTCCGAATACACACTTCCTCCTTCCTCTGTCTCTTTCATCTCTTTACATCGCGCTCCTCTCTGCCTTTCGCGCTCTGTGCGGTCCTTCCTATCCTGACGAAGGTTTCTCACTCGCTCCTCGCGTTTTCATCTCGCGCTCCGTCACTCCCACTCCGGCACTTCCTCTTCTTCTGGCCGGTTTCTCGCGGTTGCGGTGCGGCCTTGCAATGCTGCAGGCACGGTCGCATCCCCTCTCGTCCCGCCGACACCGCCGCTGCTGCACCGTTGCAGCTGCAACAGCAACGGAGGCGGCCGCAACGGCCGATGCACACTATTGCAGAGGCAGCGAGGTAACTACGAGGTAGTTGCAGCGCTGGTTCACCTCGTAGTACGAGGACGAGACATTGGCCTACCACGCTCGACCTTGCCAGTTCGTTACTCTTTCCCCGCTTCTCTTATGCATTATACACGGCTATCCGCCTCTCGGCCCTGTGTCGTTGTCCTCCCTGTCCCTGCTCTTCGTCTCTCCCTCAGCATTTCTATCGTTTCTGTTTCCCTCGTTGTATTTTCTCCTTCTTCTCCTCTTCCTTACCCCTTTTCTGCGTGTCTCAGTACTTCCCTTTCAATTTGTCTCCTTTTCGTCTATTTTCCCTGGTCCATCTCATTCCTGCCGACTTACCCGTCGCACCATGTTTCTCTCTCGTCCTTCTCTCTCTTTCTGTCTCTCTGCGATGCGATGGCGACGAATGGGTAAGGCGCATCGTCATCATGCGATCTCATTTATCGCGGCTGACCCCCCTCGAATTCAGATAGTGGTGGAACTCACTATCTGAGATAACGACGGAAAGAAGAAAGCGATTGCAAACGGGAGCACAAGTGATAATGATAGTGACAGCAAAGGTTATAGTGATGGCGACAGCAACAGAAAAGACTGCTACCATTGGAAATGATTGTCGTCCACACGATGCATACAACTAGTTACGATCCAAATTATAATTAACAATAATATCGATGTGACGGTCCCCCACACCTACATATGCACAACACAAGATATGCATGTTGTTCGGTGTGTCGTCATCGAGCTTCGTTAACGCGGCGCTTCATGCCATTACGCGGCCCCCGAGACTATAAATTTTACAAATTGCCCCGATCGAATCGTAAAGCAATGCCATGGCGGTGAGAGCCATGTCTTATATCTCGCGTCTGAACGATGGATCGCGTTACTACCATTTTATCGACGCATTTTTCTCTCCGCGTGATCGATTAGAAGGGACGCTCTCCGAGCGTATACCGATAATGCAGCCCCTCGTTAATTGGTTGCGATCACTCGACTGGGAAAAAAGGGAGACATCGCAGGACAAACGGCAATCATGATTGTCACGCCTACGTGAGATAGTAAGAGAAGGAATATCTTATTAGCATATCATTTTGCGTCGTTTTCATTCGCAACGCCGTCGCAGAATGGCACAATGTTTGTCCAACTGAAATTGCTTTCGCCACGATGTATTTTCTTATAAAACAGTCCGTGCCCAGCGTCACGATAAAGATTTCAATATAGGACGGTGCATTGAGCGGTGCTTTGAAATAAAAACCAGCGTGACAGCAGGGTGCTTTGTACTAAATAATAGAAACGGGCGATTCTCCAAAACCTTATAAAGCAATCATATTACTTGTCTTGTAATCTACTTTTTGGTCTCAGCGAGTAACGTGCGATACCTTCAACTAGAATCCCTAGAACTACCAAAGTCTGGCCATGTCCTAAAAATGGCGTGCGTGTCCAAAATGTGTGTTTGCTCTCAATTGATGAAATATGAATGTATGCGTTCTCGATTGGTACTGCCATTGTGGGCACGCCAATTACAAAAGAGGATGGAGGAATGACTAGACTCTGATAGTTCTAGTTCTATCTTAAACCATATCGATTTTAAACTCGTCTCGAAAAATCGATGTAATCATATTGTTTCACATCAGCGATTTTTTGCTTCGTGCATCATTATTCGCATTGATTGAATAGACAATCCAATATAAGTAACTGCACGCGATAGCGAAGCGCTCGCACGCTCGTACGAAGTTTCATTACAAAATTAATTCCACGTTATGTAATTATAATCTCGATAGTTTTAACATCATAGCCGCATTCTTGCGAGAAACAAATATCGTATATACCGTGGCGCCCGCGCCGAAGCGTTAATTGAAATCATTAGCCACTGTGCGATTCTCACGATGTCGCTTTTATTCGAATTATTCGTGTTAAACGAATACAACTAAAACGAAATTCCAGCTACACGCTCGGCGTAGCCTGACGCAGAATCGTATTCGTATAGCGTATCCTTTTCAAGCGGCGAGCTTAGAGCGGAGATAATCGAGACGAATGTTTCGTTTAAAGGCCGCCGTGATCAAATTCCTACGGAAAGAAAGGAAGAGGAGAAGGAAATGGAAGGGAGACAGAGAGAACGGTCTCTTTGCGGTGAACGATCGAAATCTCTCTTTCCGTGGACTTAACGGTGACAGGTACCTAGTCCGTGTCAAATCGTAAGTCGATATCCCGCCGGTTCGTCCCGCGCCTTCCATCACAGCCGTCTGCCGCAGAGATATCCCTGGACGCGGAGGATGGATGTCGAGGCGCCCCGGTTCGTTCCTATACTATCCAGTACCCAGCCGGGTGCATTGAACCCGCTCTCACGCCGCGAAGACGCGCAACGACGAACGCATCCTATGCTTATAAACCGTAACGACACGTGAAACTAACGGACTTGGCCTCACGGCGCGTCTACACCCGCGGGAGCCCCGTGTTCTCGAATACGATTTCCGTCGAGCTCATTTGGGATTACGCATACGCGCAAAATTATGAGAATACGTAAAGCGAGAGAGACGATAGAGAGTGGAATATTCAAGAGAGTCGACATCGCGCTCGCACCGCGATGAAGAAGGTGCCACGCGATATAAAAATCCAATGATGGATTCCCCGCGTGTAAAACGCCGCGGCGAGTGCGTCATTCAAAAGAGATAATTACTAGCTCCTAGTACTCAACAGTGCGATAGAGTGCAATATCTTGGACAGCCCCTTCAACAGGAAAGTAAGGTGTTCCGCACTCGTATATTACGTGCTGTAATTTCGAGTCATAATTATACCAGACAGGAACTCTAATTAAAACTTTTCATCATAGTCCTAAACGAGTATAATACTTTGTAATTTAAAACGATACCGCATAATGGTGTTGTGAAAAGAAATGTTTTTATACGGTCATGTAAATAGATAATATATACATATGTAATTATAGATAGATATATATAGGTAATTAAGTGAACAGCATATATAAAAATAAATAAAAAATGTAGAGAACATGTTAACGTTCGCATGCTTTGGTTCATTGGGAACATAATCGCTACATAATGGATGTAACTTGTGTCGGGATTAGGGACTCTGGATTGAAGACAAATATAACAGTCTCTCGAGGAAGCAATATAACAACATTACACGTAAAGTGAAAGCTGTAAATAGTTGCTAGAGAGATTTACACAGGTCATCGGTAGTGATCGATTATGCACAAGCGACAAGTGAGCCATGCGCTCGATCCAGCTCGCTCGATCGAAACTTTTGCCGATCAATATTAAGTAAATAAAGCGAGAGAGGGATTGCTGCCGCGCGTCATTTCCAAACGAGCACTTTGATCAATCGCGGTGTACAGTTGAACGCTTCTGTGCCACGCCGCGTGCATCCCCTTCTATCATCCCTCTCCGACAATAGGTTCAAAGTACTTTTCCAACGGAAGCATTTGCAATTCGAATTCCAATTTGAAATCGAAGCCTGCCGGCTAGATAGTCCGACGTCGTTATGCGCCGATATGATCGCCGCCATAAGGCGAATTCGCACCTCGTCATTCCGTGGCGCGAGTTCTTTTTTTCTATTTTTTCTCTCTTTTTCTTTTTTCTTTTACTGATGATAATGTTCCATCAGACTGATTTTATACCTCTCGCCTTTGGGGCCTCGTCTTCTGGCACGAACGTTTCCTCGTGCTCCCAAGCCAATGGCAGCGCGCGTAATCGATGAGGTGCCCGATGCGGCGCCGAACTTCTATAATTTCTAACCGTCTCGACGTGCCGCTGCTCGATACATATCACCAGGGAAAATGATACCCGCGATAGCGCCGCGCCGATAATTTTCAAACTGGCACGTACGATATCATCGTATAGGTTCAGTCACGAAGCCGAACACGGCTCCATGCGGAAGGCAGGAAACCGATCGCTCGATTCTGCCGCGGGATTGATTCTTTTCGTACGATAGAGGAAGCGCTGTCTTTGGTGGTAACAAATACCAATGCGGTAGCCGACAGTCAATATTTCAAATAATAAATCTGAGATCTAATGATAAAATCCATTCGAAAAATT